CTGTTCAACGATCTTGTCGTACAGTAGCTCAATGGGACAAGCCGACGCTTCTCTGACTGATTGGGAGTGATTTCCGGATTCTCCAATCATTACCTGTCATACATTTAATGCGAACGTGGGCTGCATTAAATGCGGACACGTTCTGGCTGAGTTGGACGTCCCATCGGCAATCATTCGTAAACAAGTGGCATTATTTTATTGTATTCGACGTCGCACTTATATCAGGAGCCGCCCTTGCGAGACTTCGAACACGGTGCCGGCCTCATAGCCGCATGGTGCGGTGCCGATCTCGGGACTTATTCCTCCCGCCGTTCCAGACGACTTTGACTCTCATTCAGCTCGGCACCCAAGCGCGGTTTTGGTGACCGGCTCCTTCGGCTCGGACCGGCACCCATGTTGGGTCCGGACTCGGATATTAACAACTTTCTTTTATGTTTCTAGCATAACATATCATGGTCATTGTCATTATTGGGTTTCATGAGTTTTTGCATTTTTAAGAACTGAAAGTTCGCGTTCCAATTGAATCATTAAACTCATACCCAGTCGATTTATTTTCTACAAATTTAAAAGATTCAATCCATGAAACTACCATAATTTGTTGGACCAATTATCACCCTGTACTGTTGTTGCTAGGCAGCTTGACCATTACGTATTCATATATGCACATACTTATACTATGAAATGTCATACGTTAAGATACATCATAAACAAAACATGACAGTTGTGTTACGTACACCGTGGAGTTTTCAAGAGTTAAAAAGACAAGTAAAAACACATAAAGAAGTGATGACTTGTTGTAAGTCAACCAGCAGTAACAAACCAAGTCAATGAAAATGCCTAGAAATCTTGTATGCATTCCAATTGAATAGAAACAATACCTTTTGTAGATGTTGAAATAGAAAAGAGTCACTGCTTTTTAGCCAAGTAAAACTGCAAAATATGAATAGTGAGCATTTTTTGTAGAAGATTGATTTATAGCCGTTTTACATTATAAAAAAACCAATTTACTCTTAATTTATTATTTTTAATATTAAGTGTGAAAATTCTCTCTCTCTCTCTCTCTCTCTCTCTCTCTCTCTCTCTCTCTCGCTCTCTCTATCGAAAATAAGTAAGAGGACGCAAACATTCCTCAAGTAACATTCAAGACAAGAACTTGATACAAGGATAGATGCAGAGATATTTTCAATTATAAATTATCTATTCAAAAACTTAATGTACAAAATTACTTTTAAGTTTCAAATAGAAAACGAAAAAACCCCACTAGATACATCAACCTAATTGAAAGAGTTATATTTTTGGAAATGAAGTTCAAAAATTAATATAAGTGGTATGTTCTTGCAAGCATGATTTATAAAAAGGAAGTTCTTTTAATTATTTTATACTCACGAATATATATATACATATATATATATATATATATATATATATATGAGTCGATTTTATATCTTAAATATGTTTTGCATAATCTTATGTTGATTCTGTTATTTTAGGAATGGATATGCATGGAGTAAAAAAGAGAGGCGTGCATCATGAGGAGATCTTGGAGTGAGATAGAGGAGATATTCACTTACCATAATTCTTAGCACTCAACTTGGAAGGAAATCGGAAAAAGGAAGGAATGCTACTTGGAGAAGACTCCATGCTAGGGATGTATAAATACCCTACTTGAAGATTGAAGACGGCTGATGAAGTGATCATTCACCTACATATTCTTCAAGCTTCAAGTGCTTTTGTGATTTTTAGATTGTATCCAGTTTTGTGTGTTCTTACGAAATTGAAGACTGGAGTTGCATTGTATTCTTTTAGTTGGTTTTTTTATTCGAACCTTATCGTGTTTAACACTTAGGGATTAAATGTTGATCAGAAAGTCCACGCGACATGGCCAGAGAAGTAGTTTATAGATTCGAGCATAGTTGTGGTTAGGCTAGAAGGGAGTTCTAGTTGTTATAAGTCCAAACTATGTACAAACGAGTTATCAATGAAAGAGCTCTGAGGGGAAGTGGGATGCTTCGCTGAAGAGTTTTATATCTTCGGTTTATTGCTTCCGCTATTTTAATCATTTACTCGTGTTTTACAACGTTGAGCGCACTCTCGCTAAATATATACATTTCAATTGGCACCAGAGCAGTGTTCCTGTTCTAATCACAGGATAAAGATCTTTAGGTCTTATGGGTTGGTCACCATGAATCACGATGGTATGTCTGTTTCGCGCCCTCCGTTCCTCGACGGTTCGAACTATGGATACTGGAAATCCATGATGGTTATTTTTCTTCGCTCCTTGGGGAAAGGAACCTGGCAAGTTGTTGAGTCAGGATGGACTATACCGCTTATGCAAAAAGTTCCCGTGGAATCTAAGGCAAGTGAATCCTCGTCGTCATCCTCGGTTGCTCAAGTTCTAGTCGAGAAACTGAGAGATCTTTGGACTGATGAAGAAAGACAAACAGAAGATGCGAATTTTCGTGATCTATATGTTATCATGTCGGCTGTGGATCCAACTCGTCACAAGATGATTATTCAGTGCACCACAGCTCACGATGCATGGAAGATTCTTGAGAGGCGGTTTGAATGTACGAGAGCTGTGAACTTCGAAGCTTCAAAGGATCACGACTGAACTTGGCGAGATCCGGATGAAAGATGATGAGACTATTGACATGTACTATGCTCGTTTCTGTGATCTCATAAACCAAAGTGCAATGCTTGGTGAACAGATATCAGAGGCGAGGCAAGTACAGAAGTTGATGAGAACTTTATCGGATAGGTTTGGAATTAAGATCACAGCCTTGGATAGTTTCCAAAGAATTAAACCACTTGGCATTGACGATCTTCTTGGCGATCTACGCACGTTTGAAATAAACAACAATTTCGACTCGATGAAGATAGCCAAAGGAAAAGGCTTAGCTCTAAAAGCCAAGGTTCGTATAGCTGTAATTCAAATCCAAGAAGTCGAGGCCGGCGAGGCTTACTTACCTCTGGCCCGGCAATGAGATTAATCAAGCAGCTTTCACTATCAGCTAACGCCACTTCGAGCGGAAGAGAATAGTTTAACGGCATGGTATGGGGATGAGATGACCTAGAATGGTGGAAAAGCTGTGTGAGAGAGGGTGATTCGGATGAAGAATCCTTTGATGCTGATGAGATTATGAAGGCTCTCACTGTTCTTACTAAAAATGTCTCAAAAGTGAAGAAGTTTCAGAAGAAAAGATTTCAATGAAACAAACCATTTGAAGGTGGTAAGAACATGATTCAGCAGTCGGGTGATCGGCGTCCCAATATGCAGTTGAGCAGTTTCAGAACGCTAATCAATGAGTTGAAAAAGATCAGTGTCGAGAATGCAAAGGGTTCAGTCACTTCCAGAAAGAATGTCCTAACTTCAAGAGGAAAAACAAGACCTATAAGGCAACATGATCCGACTGCAGCGAAGATGAGGATGAAGAATCTGAGAATACAGAAAACTCTCACTTTACCAATAATCTTGCTATATATCCTCTTAATAATTATAACTGCTTTACATCCTCTGTGCATCTTACTAATGTCGAATCTGATGCAGGTTCTTACACTAAAGAATTGAGTGACTCTGAACCTGAGGAATTCTCCGATCCTACTGCAGAGAACCTTGTGCTTCACAAGTACGCTATAGAGAAGTGTCTCAAAGCTGCCCAAATCATCAAGAAGTATCAAGCCCAGGCAGAAAAGATGAAGCGATTGGAACATCGGTCAGTAGAACGTGAGAAGTAAATCACTTATCTCAGGAATGAGCTTCAGAAGATGAGAGTTCTGACCGTTGAGTTGAATGAGAAGCTCATCAAATCTGATCTTCAGGCTGGAATGCAAGATAAGGATCTTAATAGTTGTCATGCCAAAATTGCTCTATTTGAACACGGCAATAAACTGAGCAAGCAGGTAAGTGGTGAGAAGAACCTTTATATTGAATCTCTGCGTAATGAGTTGTTTGTTGTGCAGAAACTTATGGGAGAAAGGAAAACCGAGATCTTTGTTCTCGAAGAAGAACTTGGTCGAGCGATGGAGGAAAATGTGTCACTCCAAAGTTATTGTGCAACAATCAAAGAAAAGCTCAGCAAGAGTGACGAAATCATCAAAATGATCAATAAGTCCAAGTCCTCGTTTGCTGAAGTTCAAAGGATGAGTCAACAAATAGGTTCCGCTGACCAGAGTAAGAACGCCCATGATCTGAAGCTGAAAGGTAAAGTAGGCGAACCAAGTACATCTCTGAGTAAGTCAGATCTGAACTTTGTAAAGGAAGGTTACAGCATTGATGGTAAGAATGATAAGCCTAACCCTGCTAAAAATCAGCGTACGAATTCTGGTAAGAACTTTGTACCTGTGTGTCACTATTGTGGTATTCGTGGTCATATTCGTCCTAAGTGCTATAGAATGCATAATGATATCTATTCTGGTCGAATTGATGATTGGAGTCCACACGGTGTGCCTTTGAAAGCACCTAAGATAAAGGTTGATGTGATAAATCATGAATAGAAAAAGATTTGGGTTCCTAAAGGCAGTAAGAAAATTTGTTTATCTTATTTACTTGCTTTGAAATCCACTTCTAATTCTGATTGGTACTTTGACAGTGGGTGTTCCCGTCATATAACAGGCTCTAAATGTTACTATTTTTCCTGTGTCTTCTAGTTCTGTAACCTTTGGTGATGGTGCTAAGAACATAGTCCTGGGTATTGGATGTTTGAATGTTCCTAGAGCACATTTGGTTGGGGGGATTAGGTAAGATAACCCCATTTATCTGGGCTTATCTAATGTTTGGTATACATGATATGGGTCCGCTTATTAATCTTCAGCCCGAGATAAAATCTGCCCAATCGTGAGTATTCGAGACAAAATAATCTTGTGCCGCCCCCCACCCCCGAGATTGACGAAATCTGCACAGTTCCATTGTGGTTAAATGACCAACTAGCCCTCAAAAAATTGCAAAAAAGGTATACCTCTCTCTCTCCTGCTCATTCAACACTTCACAAACGACGAGATTGATGAGAGAACAGGTATCGTCGTTCCTTCGATCCGAAATAATGTGTTTTCGTACTGTCTCTTTTGTTTTCTTTTTTTCTTTTTTTTTTCCTGTGGTTTTTGCAGATCTGTCTTCAAATCTGCTTTATCGTGGTTCGGTTGTTTTCTGCTTTATCGTGGTTTTTTTTCCTATGGCGGATTCAGTTTTTTGTTGATATGGCTTTCATAACCTAAACCCTAACAAACAGTCGAATGCTTTTTTTTTCTTAAAGAAAATAGTAAAATTCAGTTTTTAACATTTGGGGTAATGTTGAAGTTGTTCACTTTTTATTAGTACATTATAAAATTGAAATTTCCCTAAAAAACAAAATTTACATACTTCTGTAGCCACGGACATTAAGCATTGTATCATCACATAGTTGTGTAAATTGTTGTTGTTNGATCTATTTTATTTTTATTTTTTTGATTGTTTACTAAATTACAATATTGTAATGTTGGTTAAACTTCATCATCAGCAGATCTTTGGTGATTCCTTATATTTGAACTATTGGGAATTGTTGATAAGAATACAAAAACATGATTGTTTAGTGTTGTCAGTATTTTTACCGGAGTAGAATAGAAAGATTCGTTCCCCTGGTCGTATCGCAAGGAAGGTTAGCCGGATATTCTTGTGCGTTTATTCAATCACGAAAAGATAAGACAAATTCCTAAACACTCTAATTCAATATTTTTGAGTTTCAATTATCAACTATTGATTTAAACTAAATAAAATGAAAGTAAATAGCAAATGAATTTACTGAATGATTAAAGTGCTAGGGAATCGGGGATAATCGCTTGCGGTTTTAACACAATCACCGACAATCGATTGCTTGGTTAAAGGTCTTGAATCGTTTCTCGTTCAAAGGTTCACTCTCAATAACTCTTTGTAACAAGAGAGTGAATGTAAACGATTAACTATCAATTCCAACAACACATAGACTATACGTTTCTGAACAAATCTATTCTAACGAGCCTAATTCGACCAACGTTTCCCCTCTCGGTTCTACACGTTGATTATCTAGGTTAGAAAGGTGATCAATCTACTAACCCTATGATTCACACAACTCGAATAGACATGAACAATCAAAAGCATTCAATCATTATCGAACCTAATCAATCATCCTCTATCCCTAGCGAATGGATTTAGCTACTCATATGGAATTCAACATCAAAATTCATACAAACCCAAGCCATCATCATCAACAAAACAATTGAGAAAAATAACTTACGATTAATGATAAAAATCCAATGTCAAATCCAAGTGCATCCAAATCCAAAGCAGAGAAAATGAGTTTTTCAATCTCCAAAACAGATCAAAGCGTAAAAAATAAAGTGCAAAAGTATGAAAATGAATGAGTTTCTAGAGAGAAAAAGCGTAAAAATAAAGTCTGAAAGTCAAATAATGAACCCTAGGATTGAAATCTGCTCTAAAAATCCCGTCCTAGAAATTCGCGCCAGATAAGTCGCGAGATAGGCTTTCCCTCAGTCACGAGTCGCGCGTCGTCAAAATGTTAAACTTCTGGGGCTGGTCGCGACGCAAGTCGCGAGTCGCGACTCCATCTCGCGAGTCGCGACATCTTCTCGCGAGTCGCGACTCCGTCTCGAAATTGCACCTTTAGCCCCAGTTTTTCCCGCGGGTCGCGACATGTTCGCGAGTCGCAAGTCGCGAGACGACTCGCGAGTCGCGAAATTTTCTGGACGCAGTTTCTGTCCGTTTTTCCAGTCCTTCCTCGAGTCTTCTGGGCTTGGCAATGGGTATTCTCGATAGCACAGCCTTGGCTCAAGCAGTCCCAACCTCGACTGGCACAACCTACCTCCTGATAACACAAACACAGAAAAACACGAAGCAAAACATGGCAAAAAGACACAAAAATATAAACTAAGGAGAAAAACACAAAACGAACAAAATGGACCAAATAAACAACGAAAAACCTACAAATGGGGGAAAACAAAAAGAAAATAAACATGAAATAAAGACACAAAAATGGGACAAACATTTAGTAGTGTTCATAAGGTTACTTTTGTTCTTGTCCATTGCACTTGTCATAGACCACAATTGCAGAGCATAAGTAATTGTAGCAATGCTAGTAATTTTTGGATTTAATAAATTTTGAACACTTGCATAACTAATTTTATGTATATTTATGCAGGTTTATCCTCTTTGGGGGAATCTACGGTTCTAATTTAGGAGGAGTGAAGGAAGTACGAAATTTCATCTTCATAACATCTACCATTGGTAATATGTCTCACGTCATAATATGTTATATTCATTTCACCTTTGGGAATGAATATCTTTCATTGTATGTTTTCAGTATGCATCGTACTCCATACACCTGTTTATTTTTTATTACATTATTCTTTACCTGTGGATTTATTTTCTTCTTTACTTGTGGAATACATTTGATTTATTACTGAGTTGGTGCTTTGTTTTTTGTTACTCTTCTATTATGAATAAAATATTTTGCATTCCCTCTCATACTTGCCAATCCAATGCTTAGATTACCCCAGTGAGGATGAATTCGAAAACCGAGAAATGGAGGCCATTTTGGTCTTGGAAGAAATTCTGAATCTTTTGAAGATTGTATTCTTGCTTGCTTACATTTACTTAAAATTTGTTGTTCATCCGAAGAATGGACGTAACAGTAGGAGTCGGTCCCATCCAACAACTTACAGAATGGGAGATAGGCTTCCTAGTCAAATTGAGCACATGAAACAACTAATAGACATTAGCGACCAAACTTGTGTTCAACAACTTCGTATGGACCGTAATGCCTTCGGCAGGTTATGCTATTTGTTATGGTAGATAAAAAAATTGTGGTCGTCAAATTTGATTTTAAAAGGTCTGGACACACAATTAGCAAATTATTCCATAAGGTTCTTCAGGCCGTTATTCGACTCTATCTGATTCTACTTGTACAACCAACCCCTGTGGATGAATCGTGTACTGACTGGAGATGGAAATGGTTTAAGGTGACGTTATTTCAATGTAAAGCTATTCGAATACATTATATATTTGTCATAGAATAACATGGCTAATAATTGAATTTTAATTTTATACAGGGATGCTTAGGTGCACTTGACGGCACGTATATTCCTGTCCGTGTTCCTTTGCACCTACACCTCTGATATCGGAACCGAAAAAGTTCTGTTTCTGTCAATGTCCTTGGTGTATGCAATCGAGAAATGAATTTCTCCTACGCACTAACTGGTTGGGAAGGGTCTGCGGCTGACAGCAGTGTCCTACGAGAAATGAATTACTCCTAAGTATGGAAGTCCACATGTTTTCAAAGTTGGTGGACGTGTTTTGTTGCAGTCTGTTTTGTATGCATGTAGCTTTTGCATGTTGACTACTATGGGTGTGTTCTTTCATGTTAAGGCCTGGTCAAGTTTTGTGTTCTATTTTACATGCATTATTATAAGTATGGTCTATGGTGTTGTGTTTAGAACCTTGTTGTTTATGTAATGAATTTTCTGTGATATATGTAAAGCATTGTAGCTGCTTTTATTTTGGCCCAGTTCAATTACACCTAATTTATATTTATTACACTCATTTTCACTCTTCTACTTTGGGTGTGCACAAATAGTTATATCATTTGCTCATTCACCATAACAATATTGTAAAGTAAAGCCAAAAAGAGTACCACACATCACCACATACAGTCATGTTAAATTGAGATTTCTAAAAACAAACACAATCGTGACATTCAGAGTGATTGATAATACATGAACAGGAAAACAACACTACATTGAATAACATAAAAGGCATCGACAAAGTACGGTAAACATAGGACTACTATAACACTTCAAATGAGCGGATCATTGGAGGAGCCCTTGCACGACGAAGGGGAACTATTGTGCGGAGGGCGAGGGATGCGCCTTGGGGTTTGACTACCCCGCCTTGGATTGAAAACATGTGGTTGAGTATTAACAGAGCATTCAGAAGGCATGTCACGTTCTCGAGGCCTCATATGTGGGTAAAAATTGTCTCCGACGGGACAATTGCCCATAACATTGTTGTTTGACGGTTCCGACACTAGATCTGATGATTCAATCTGCGCACCTACGACATATTCATTGGTCGAATGCACGTCTTGCACAACGTCTGTTTCTGGTGAGGCCCCATACACCGAAGTGAAAAGAAACTTAAGCTCATTCCATCGAGGATCACCACAATGTTGATACGCCACACTGAGAGAGTTGGACTACCATACGACAGAAACACATTAACAACAAATGATTTTACTTCATGTTTAACCAACAACACAGTAACAAGGTAAGGTAGATTGAACTTATTTAAGGGGGCATTTTTCAAAAGAATTGTATCTTTTTTGTTAGTCCTATAAAAGACCTTACATGTCCAAATCTTAAAAATAAGGTCACAGACGAGGATTGGATTTCAGAATCACAAATATATTGGTTCTTGGGAGTTTCAACATAGCAATAGGTACATTTCAGAGCTTAATTAGTTAACAAAAAAAATGAGATTGAATTCAGAGCTTAAGACTTCAAATTACATGTGAAAAAAGAAAAAAACATTACACCCTCCACATCAACCAAAAAATTAGCAACAACTGAATCTATTATTCACAAGTTTTTACCTCGAATATGTCATCCCAAACGGCGACGGGGGCCGTTAAGACGTTCGATTGAACACAATGACGTAGCCCGTGTTTTCTGAGCATCCAACTGAAAACACTATAATGTTTTTGGAGAAAATCAAGCCGCATCTCAACTTCACCAAGGGTGAAGTTTATGTTCAATTCTTCTTTTATCTCTAACCTGCAAGAATCAAAAACGGAAGAAACGGGTCTGCCATATTTCCATTCACCCACAGCATTCTCCTCCATTAGAAGGTCAATAAAAAGATTGTCAGCCTCTTTCGTCCAACGGTCATCGTACAAGCACTCCTCTTGCGTGACCAACACGGACAAACGAGGCATTGTGGGTTTGTTGTTGCAACTATGACCTCCCACAAAATGTTTTTACGATCAACTACTGAATAGGTAAGGGGATATATGTAGCACTATGGGGATTATTTTTCTTTTTCAATTAAAAGGAAAAAATGGGAAATTGACAGATGAATCATTAGTCCTCAATAAGAATAATGAAAAACAACAAGGCAAAGGCAATCTCAACTCAGAGAATATAATCTACAAAGGTGTATATTATGTCAGATGCTCTGCAAAAATACCAGTCACTAGGGTTTTTAAAACAGTATAAAAGTTGTTCTATACCACATCAATTCCTCGAAAACACATTATGGTAGTATTGAATATAGGAATATACAAAACAATATAACATTTTCGCAGTACAAATATGTTTCTTCAAAAATGATAAAACAATATCACTAAATTAGAATTTGATAGGGCATAAACGACTAACCAATCGTCGTCAATAAAACTGAACAGGAGATGAATTATTCAAATTGCTTACACTCGTGAATCCCATCATTAACTGTGGGAGATTATTGATGATCCTCAAAGCAGTAGGAAGGAATGCTTTAACACCATTTTACATCGCCTACAGATTTAAAACCGGTTAATAATAAAATAATTTATCCACCAAATGCTAAACAGACTTCAGGGGCACTTTAGCCAATTGGATTTTAATATAGCTTTTTATCTGCCCAACCAAAGGTACGTATTTATTTAATCCAAAGTTTGAAACAATACAAATCAAGGACAACAAACAGCTTATTATTTTAATCATAACAGTATTATCATTGCAAAAAAATTAATTTTGTCCAATCCCATCCTGAAAACCAAAAGTGCCCCTAGTTTGCCTAAGCTTCAAATGTTCTTCTTGTAGAAAACTTGAAAGTTAACTTGTTGAGTATTAGTCAACTGTGTGATCAAGGCCTCTTTGTGAACTTTACCAAATCTGAATGCTTGGTTTCTGATCAAGAGAACAATCAAGTTCTTACCGGCACTAGATCTAGGGACAACGGTTACCAGTCGAACTTGAACTTTAATGTAATAAGACCAGACGGTTGAACTCTGGCATCAGAAACTGGGACATATTAATTATCCTCACTTACTTGAGTTATCTTCTACAGGTGTGTTCGTGGTTTGCCGAAATTAAAGAAAGAACTACCCCGTGTTTGTGGTTCATGTCAAATGGGCAAACAAAAGAGGGCCTTGCATAAGAGACTAACTGAGGTGAGTACGAACAGCATTATGGAACTGATGCATATGACAGGTAGAGAGCTACAGCGGTAAAAAGTATATTCTAGTATGTGTAGATGATTACTCTAGATTTTCGTAGGTTGATTTTTTAAAAGATAAATCTGATGCTCTTGAGGCCTTTCAAAAACTTGTGTTGAGATTGGAAAATGAAAACAGAACTAATCTCGTTGCTATTATAAGTGACCATGATAAAGAATTTGAAAATCGTGGATTTGAGTCTTTTTGTGATTCTCGTGGAATATTTCATCAGTTCTCATCACCCATCACTTCTCAACAGAATGAGGTGGTAGAACGTAAGAATAGAACTTTGCAGGAGATGGCTAGGGTGATGTTGGTATCTCAAGGGATGTCTTTAAAATGGTGGGTTGAAGCCATTAACACGACATGTTATATTACTAACCGTGTATTTTGTAGGCGAGGTACATGGATCACTTTATATGAACTCTGGAAAGTTAAGGCCCCCAATGTGAAGTATTTCCATGTTTTTGGTTGTCGTTGTTACATCTACAACGACAGGGAACATTTGGGTAAGTTTGAATCGAAAAGTGATATTGGTCAATTCCTTGGTTACTCTTCAAATAGTCGTGCTTATCGTGTATATAATTTACGTACTCAAGTGGTAATGGAGTCAATCAATGTTGTCTTTGATGATTTTTCTGATATTGTTCTTATCCCGATGTGTCCAAGGTTGATGTTAGTAGTGGTAAGAAGTCTGTAAGTGCTGAACCTCAGAATATTTTGAATGAAATTAAAGTTGAAAACTCAGAATTTGATGAAGGTGTTCATGCAGGCTCTCATGATGAATATAGTGTTCCAGCATCCTCAGGAAATCCAGCTGAATTTAGGCGAGATCCTCCTGCCAAAATTCAGAAGGATCATCCTAAGGATCAGATTATAGGAGGAATAACTGAACATAATACTCGTGGTGTAAAACCTGACTTTAGAAAAATGGCTGGCTTGTGCCACTTTACTTGTTATGTGTCGAGGTTAGAACCGAAAAATGCAAAAGAAGCCTTATGTGATGATTTCTGGGTGTTAGCTATGCAGGAAGAATTGGAACAGTTTGTGAGAAACGATGTGTGGGAACTGGTTCCTAGACCCTCAATTTCTAATGTGATTGGTTCAAAGTGGATTTTCAAAAACAAAACTGATGAATCATGGGAAATTACTAGGAACAAATCCCATTTAATGGCACAGGGGTACACCCAAAATGAGGGTGTTGACTTTGATGAGACATTTGCCCCTGTTGCGCGTCTAGAGTCAGTCAGGATGTTCTTATCTATTGCATGTTTGTTGGATTTTATCATATATCCAATGGATGTGAAATCTGTTTTCTTGAATGACTTTCTGAAAGAGGTTGCTTATGTGAAGCAACTTGAAGGATTTGTAGATCCACATCTTCCAGATCATGTTTATAGGCTAAAGAAGGCGTTGTACAGGCTCAAGCAAGCTCCTAGAGCCTGGTACGAACGTTTAACTCAATTTTTGGTTAAAAAGGGATATTCTCGAGGGAGAGTTGATCAAACTCTCTTTGTGCATAAGTCTAACAAAGATATTATTATTGTACAGATTTATGTAGATGATATTATCTTTGGTTCCACCTCGAAAACATGGGTTAATGAATTTGTGAGTCATATGTCTAAAGAATTTGAAATGAGCATGGTGGGAGAGATGTCTTATTTCTTGGTTTGCAAGTGAAGCAATCCAAGGATAGGATTTTCCTTCATCAAACCAAGTATGCAAAGAATCTGGTGACTAAATTTGGTCTAGAAAATTCGAAGTGCCCAGCAACTCCTATGGGAAGCCATACAAAGCTTTGTCAGGATGATGCAGGAACACCTATTGACCCTACACTCTATAGGAGTATGATAGGGAGTCTGTTGTATTTGACTGCAAATAGGCCAGATTTGTGTTTCAGTGTTGGTATGTGTGCTCGTTATCAGGCTAATCCTAAAGAATTCCATTTGAAAGCCGTGAAGCATATAATTAAGTATGTTCATGTCACATCTGACTTAGGAATCCTGTACTCTCATGATATGACTGCTAGTCTTGCAGGGTATTGCAATGCTGATTGGGCGGGCAACATTGATGACCAGCGTAGTACATCTGGAGGATGTTTCTACATCGGAAACAATCTGATTTCAAGGCTGAGCAAGAAGCAAAATTGTGTGGCACTCTCTACTGCGGAGGCCGAGTATATTTCAGCTAGAAGTTGTGCTCCCATCTTGTGTGGATGAAACAAATGATGGTGGAGTTTGGCCTTCAGGTAAAAACCATAAACCTATTTTGTGATAATACCAGTGCTATCAATATCTCTAAGAATCCTGTTCAGCACTCTAGAACCAAACACATATATATACGGTACCATTTTATTAGAAATTTGGTAGAAAATGAAGTGATTGTTCTTGAATACGTTCCAACGCAAAACCAGTTGGCTGATATATTCACTAAGGCACTGGGTTCCCAACAATTCATTTCTCTAAGGAAATCCTTAGGGATGTGCACTCTCTGAATGCTTGCGTGAATATGCATTATATTATATTGTTTGTATATTACTTATACTATTATCTATTACATTGCTTGTAAGCATATAAGGTATTAGTTGCATTAGGCATGTCGTGCATTGATGCATATTTTTCACCACTAAGTCATAAATGAAGTTCTGACTTTTCTGAAAGCGGGTGAGATGTTGATTATCTTTAATTGATTGCGTGTTCGTGCATACCTTGGAACAAATATATTTCTGTCAAAAAGAGTTGCCTTCACACAATGATCTAGAGCGATAGCTAGCACATGGTTCGTTTCCTTTTGGATCGACTGTGAAAAGAGCGTCATGGACAGAAAATGTTGTGAAGGGTGGTAGCTATTGACAACTATTGCACTTCATTGTGTGGTGTTTTTACTTGGAGTTATAAGGTGATCATCTTCATAAAAATCATAGTGCATAATGAATAAAAAAAAACGAGTTCTTACACCAAGCATTGGGGCAAAGTAGTGGGGTTGACTTTCACTATTGCAGTGATTGGTACTAAGTGAAAAGCCTCGATGTAAATTAATGTGTTGCTTAAAATCATTGGGCAAAGTAATGGGGTTGACTTTCACGCAGTGATGGTTAGAGCATCTCCAATGCTTAATGTTGTAGTGGTAAATTACATTCTACGTCAACAAATTTATTAATATCACAACTTTTCACCTTTCAATGTACAATGTGATCACAAATATTGTGGTGATGTGGACATAATTAATGTCTACAATGTAGAGAAGAATGTGGTTCATCCACATTGTCCTCCACACTCTAACTAGCCAATGAAGAGAAGAGAGGGAATTATTATTACCATCTTCAAATTATTTAATTAATTTTATTAATCCATATTAAATTTTAACATTTGGTAAGTAGATAATATTGTAATTAGACTACATTGTGCATTGGAGATGATTTTTTAATTTAATAGTTGTGAACTCAACATTTTTCTTACATGGTTCACATTCTATTTAATTTTTGACATTTGTCAAAATTTATCCTATAACAATATTAGAGCATTGGAGATGCTCTTACTAAGTGAAAAGCCTAGTGAATAATAAAGCTTATGTTCTTTTGGTGTTAGAATTCTGGAGAGACATGACTTGCGCTATATATATATATATATATATATATATATATAATTCCGCTTCTGTTTTGTTCCTTTGTGTGTTTGTAGCACAATGTTGATTTTGGACGAATTATGCATCAATCCTGCTTAAGTAGATTAAGAATG